AATTGATAATCCAAATCGTTGGTTCATAGCAAATTATAAAGCAATGGCCAGATACTCTTGAAAAGTTAGACCGTAGGTTTTAGGATATTTAATAATTGACCAGCATGATATATTAACTAATGGCTCAAGTCGGTTATTAAAAAATTAAAAACCTATGATAAATATTATCTAAAAGCCGTCGAAAATGAACTTTATATCAAACTGACGTCTCAAATTTCTCATTTTTGTTTGCACACGCGCCCTTAGCTCCGGAGCCTACCGAAATTCCATCATCTAAAATTTCACCAGGATTTATAATTTATCACGTTCTTACACTCAAATCATAAGTAATCTCGATTTCACAATTAATTGAATTTTTTTTAAAAAAATTTAATTGTTAAATTTATTATATTTTGATATTTAGTTTTTTTTTTTTTTTTGAGAAATTTGAAATTTTGATGACATATCACATTATTACATGCAAATGACCCAACTCTTATGTAATTCTACATCTAACAACTAAATTTTAATGAGAATTTGCATGCTTAGCGCACAATTTTTATGTATTTATGTTTCTCACACCTAAAAGTTCACATTTAGGTACACGATACTTTGAAAGAGAGAAATGTTCATATTATCAAGTTTGATAGCCCAAATTTTAATTTTAGGAATCATGTATTTTATGAATTAAACTAAAAAATATTAAATAAAAAATTTACATATGTAGCACACAATTCTTATGTATTTACATATCTCAAACCTATACTTTCATACAAGTGCTTTAAATTTATACAAGGGATTTGTAAATACATAAGAATTGTGTTCTATGCATGTAAATTCCTCTTTTTAAAAGCAAATTCACATACATAGCACAACTCTTATGTATTTATGTATCCCACATCTAACTTTGGTATTTATATACATGACACTTTGGTGCTTTAAATTTATGCATGAAAATGTGAACTTTACTTTAAAAATTTGATAATAGTGATGTTGTTTTCGTGATTAACATTAAGCTAACTTACTAATTATGAAAATATTGTTTAAAGTATTGATGAAGACAGTGAAATGAGAGAACCTTACTCTTTTGTATTAGAGTTTTCATGCTCTTTATTTTCTATAAGGCCACCGACATATGTCTACAGCTCTTGACAGCTTCTTTTATGAATGTGACCAATATTTAGGTGTTTTATCGTTTGTTAATCGACATTTGAAAAAGCATAGCCACATCATCAAATAAGATATCTTCCCTTTTTATCACTCAAACCTCCTTATCTATATTTTTTTTCCTTTTGTATTGTTCTCTTTTGCTAACAGTACTTCCTCATTCTCCCAGTTCGCACAAAATTCAAATTATAGGTTATCTATAGATATTCATACAACAATGTCATAGATATACAATAGACTATATCCTCATAAAAAAAGGAATCACCGAATGATTCTTGAACGGTGTTGAGACTTTCATGCAAGCAGCATCTCAGCTTCTAACTTACATATCTAAGGGTAAGTTTCATAGTCCATGTTCAAAACAGGAATCGAGCAAATTTAACGCCTGACAAACTCATATATGATTATATCGTCGAGAATTTTAACCTGGTTTTGGACTTCACAAGGCCAAATTGACCTTCAATATTTAATGTTGCTCCTTCTAGAAGCTATGATCCTCAACTTGAGTTTGACATAAGTGGATTTGTTAAAACGGTATATGATAGAACAAGACCTTATTATCCGAGTCAAGTGGAGGAAAAGCCACCAAACTAATGGCTCGGGCGTTTTATGAATTACTGAATGTGACACAAGTCATTGTGAAAAAATTGTACATCATATTCTGAGTTATATGTAACTCTCAGAATGTTGAAAATTAAAACAGAGTTAACATACCCCAAAAGTACTTCAATCAATTTACAAAATTATTAAAAGAAAGAAATTTCAAGAAAAATTTAATTCCACGAGACTTGTACAGCACAAAAAAATTGATCCTCAAATAAGATTTGAAATAAAAGAATATTAATTGTTGTGTAAACGGAAGTATGTTATTTATAAGCCATATGCAACAGAGGCTCAGTGCAGATTTGTGGGTCTCCTAGATTCGAACCTTAAAATAAAAATATCACTTATACAAATAAAAAAAAGAAGAGACGGAAAGAAGTTTCATACAAATAACTCTTTTATCTATCACTTATTTCATGTCTCTAAAGGCTATTTGTTTATTATTTGTATTACTACGCATATGAGATAACATCATAACAAATCAGGGGATATCAATTCAATGAGTTATCCTACATATGGAGAAATATGAAAATATTTTGATCATACACATCCTGAATTTATTATGGATGCACGTAAAGTTAGATTTGACTTGTATTTTGATGGCTTCACATTGAAACATTATATCGTCGCGCCCATATAATCTTTCATTTGAGATGTGTATGACAACACCTTGTTTCTAACTTTTGATTATATTAGGCCCCAATAGCACAAAATGAAAGGATTGATATATATTTAGAGTCCTTGATAAATTAGCTACAATTTCTTTAAGAAACATTTGTCGTCACATAACATTTCTATGAAATAATTTTTTTTAAAATAAAATCAACATTAATGTGGACAATTCATGTTTATAGAATGTTATTTGGATGGAGCATTACACAGAAGATAGTATGTTCATATTGAATGAAATTATCTAAGGCAGCTACACTTCAATATGGCGGAAAAAAAATCATGATTTGATTGTCATCACATGTTTTTACATGTTGAACATCCTTTGAGACGAAACAAAAATGCATTTAGACGAGCAAGCTTGAGAAATTAGCAAGAGTTGTTGAGGATGATTTATTCCAGATTATTAGTGTCATTCCAATGAATAATAATATCTACAAACTTCATTAATTTATCTTTGAGAGTACCTATGTTCTAAAATTCTATCCTAATATTAATTTTATGGAATAACTTCTTTGTCCGCATTCGTCCATGATGTGAGAACATTCCAAATGTACCAATTTCATAAACTCTAAAATCAAAATATTGTATTCAAATAAATAAATTAATATTATTTAGTTGATTAGTATTTTGAATTATAAATATTTGAGAAATAATCTTTTTTTAGTAAATCAAACATAAGTGATTTAGAGGTAATTATAAAGAAAAAGTATTAATATATTAGGAGTTTTTAAGAAACTTCAATTTGAAGAGTAGGTTTGTACATCATGAATTATTTACTTACCTTATTACTAAAGAACATTGCAATCCTAATTTATAATTTATCATGAATTTTTAATAATTTCAATTTGAGACTTTGAATTAATTGAGGGCAAGTGATATTTAAGCTTAAGGGAATTTGATGTGAATCAAATGTGTCATTTATATGTTATTTTTATCTTATGTTATTTTTACGTTCCACGTGGGTATTTAGTGTTTCATGCAATATACAGAACAATGATAAAGAAAATATGAAGAAAAAAGAACTAAAAAAAATGAAGTGTTGTAGTTTTGAGTCGGATGCTCTTGCACCTCTCTAGGCACCATGGTATTATCCATAGCGTGGAAATACAGAGACCATAGAAGTCTGGTGCTAGTGTTGGACGTCAGGGCGCATCATTTCCAAGCGTGAAATGCAAAGAGGCAGGAAGTTTGGTGCCAATGTTGGGCTCCAATGCGCTTGTCCTAAGTTGGAGTCCTGGAAAGCTGGTGCCAGTACTAGGCACCCGGGTGTCGGCTCATAAATAAGGAGTCAAAATTGCTAGAATTTTGGCGCTAGTGCTAGGCACATAAGCGCCCAATGACGCGAAAAGACAATTTTTCAATGTTTCATGTCGGTTCGAGTCTTAAAGCATATAAACATCCCTCATTTCAAATAAGCCTCGCAAACGAAGAGAGAAGACTTGGAGATGAAGAGAGGAGATGGAGGGCAGTGAGTGACAAAGAGATGAGAGTAGAGAAACACTGCAAGCATGAGCGAGAGATATTGTGTTGGTGTGTTTCATTTCTTCTCTCCGGTGTAAGTGTGTGCAAATGTTAAGTTATAAACAGGAGGAACTCTATGGTGCAAAGTGTGGAATACTTTGGTTTGCTTGTTCCTACTTATGTATAAACTTTGTTTTTCATTTCCAATGAAAGTTATTGTGTTTTCATTTATCATATCACGTCGCTAAATTGCTTTCACCTTTGATTAAAAAATTCAGACAAATTCACAATAAACTTTGTTTTTCATTTCCAATGAAAGTTCTTGTGTTTTCATTTATCATATCACGTCACTAAATTGCTTTCTCCTTTGATTAAAAAATTCAGACAAAATTCATATTTTGTGAACCTTAATATCTTCTATGTTGACATGTTTAACTTTTTTTGCTTAATTTATTTTTAAATTGGCAACTTAGAAAGTTAAAATGAACTGTAATCTAGTAATACAAAATTAGGCTAATGAAATGATTTGGTTAACATACACTATTTTTGGAGAATAGAAATATTGTTGCGATAATAGTGCGATCAGATCGAAAAGTAAAGAAACCATTGGGTTTTTGCATGGTTCAGGGAACTAAATTGTAATAAAAACCGTCAAGTCTTCTTATGACATTGGAAGAGGCTAACAAGTATTGTTGTTCCTGATTATCAATAATAGTATATTTGATTGAATGAGTCTAGATTTCTTAGATTCGATTCAAGGGAGAACTATGCAACTGCTAGAAACTCTCTCTTAAATTTAGTTTAGATTTTTTTAGGATAAGTCACTTCAAAAGTTCACCAAAAATTTTGATATTTTAAATTGAACTTAAGACTAGTAAACTAAAACTATCACCTGTTGTGAAAATTAACAAGTTCCATATGGATCGATACATACTTAAATTCATATATTACTGAGCAACATGTATGCTTGTGTTGTTAACGCGTGCTTCACTACATCGTGGCATCAGCTCAGCAAGTTAAAAAAACTAAATATAGAAAAATGTTTGACACTTTTTGCTTTAAGAGCTGAGTTGAACAACAGTTGAGCTTGCTTAAACTTAACACATTTGAACCCGTACCTGCAATGCAATCACCGGGAGCAAGTTCTGGAACGGAGAATAGTGTGGGGAGTTCATCACTAATAACCCCTCCTGAAGATTGAATGCTTTTTCCCTGCAACTGATTAGTGACTACCCGGTCGCTGCTTCTCATGGTTGGCCACAACATGTTTTTTGCAGTATCTGGAGGCCTTGGATGCATGAAGTCCATGAGGAAACCTCTACCACGCCTGCCACTGTCATCTGGCAACACAAAATCAGGTACTCGGATCCAAGTTTAGTAGTTTCCAGAAATTGAAGTTAAAGACAGAAGATTGCAATAAAAAACCAAACCAAAGAAGGATAACAGCTGACCATAGTGTGATGGTAAAAGACCTGGAGGTGGCTTCCTACGACGTTCATTATGTCCTGCAAGACGTCTACGGCAACTTCTTTTCCCTTGGTCAAATTCTTTAAGCAGGTGGAACCTGCAGTGGTGTTTTTTCACTAGCCTTCTTCAAAAGAACAGAACTGGTTTGCTAAGAAGTATTGGAAGTTTTGTAGGCTAAAGTTCGGTTTAATTGCACTACCAAAAAAAACATAAACCTTGTGAAGCATCACTACATATTTAGAATGGCCAAGAATGCTAAAAATGATACAAATGAATTTGATGAGGGTGAGTATAAAATGCCAAATGATATCCACACAATTTTAGAAGAGGTAACAGTTCCCAATGATAGAATTTTTGCAACGCAAGCTATGCCATCCAAAAGATTATGCCTATTATGTTGCTCAGAGGTACTTTTTCTTTTGAAAAGAAGGGGCATTTACATACTTGCCACATAATTCTTGTATATTTACATGTTTGACACCTAAACTTTTATATTGACATGCATAACACTCAAATCTCTAACACCACATCAAAAATATCACTTTAACTTTTTAAAAGTAAAATACATTTTCATGTATGAATTTTATAAAAATAAATATCAAATTGTAAATAAGATTGTAAGTACGTAAAAATTATATTGTATGTATGTCAATTTCCCAATAAAGAAATTTGGTTTCAGGCTCATCCTATTCTTTCTTGCAAAGAAAAAAACTTGGATGCTTTTTCCTTCTGTCTCATCGAAGTTAGAAACTCTAGAGACAAGGAATTTTTGTGTGCATATAAATTAGGTTGAGTAAACTTAACTCCCCAAATAAATTCACAAAAAAAAGGACACCACAATGCTTATGCGGAGAAATCAATATGCAATCCCCTCCCCACCTTTAATTGGTCGACCCAAGCAATGTGAAGCCAAAGGTTTTTTTGCATGGCTTTGTTTTGGAAGTGTATCAATACCAAAAAAGTCAACCAACTCTATAATTATCAAAGTAGACTACCAAAATTACACGTATTGCGATTAAAATTTCGTGAAAAAAAAATAAATAATTCAACAAGAAATGCACGCCCGAGAAGACAAGATTAGATCTCTTCCCTTAGAGCAGAGAACATCCCTTTGTGAAATATTTGTCCCCGATGTTGCTCCCAATGTTCCTTTGAGGATATGGGTGACCGAATCTATTAAAAGACCTAGCTAAGATTCGATCCTATCAGTAATTGCTAGACAATCCAGCTAAAACAAGCCATGCGGTGAGATCCAGACAACACCAAAATTTACTATCCTATCCGACAAGCAAGCAAATAAATCTGTCACAGACTATAAGACTAGATTAATCTATAAGTCAACATTTGACCAATCTACAAAATTCCATTTTGAAGCCGATCACGTAAGTTAAATAAGTGGACTAATTGTGACTTCAAAGTTGCAGGCAAATTGACAACTCTAATGAAATTCACAAATCAAGATGTTGCGCTTCCCCTGCTTTCTAAAATCCAATAAATAAATATTTTTTAGCAATGGCAAACACCAAATACATGCATCTCCTTCCTCATACCCCATCTTTGAACCTTCCTATACTTTTGGAGTAGTAGATAAATGACTCAAGCGAGTGGCATTAGCAAACACAAAGAGAATCTAAAAGAAAAAAAAATAGAAGCTTGAGCAGGAAGTGACAGCAACTGTGTAGTAATAACAGTGACAACATCTGCACCACCCTCATCTTCTGGGAAGAAACAAGTGGGAAGGTGCACCGGTGGTAGCTTGTAAATTGATGAAGACAGATGCTCCAATGTCCAATAATAATAAGTACCTGACCAAAACTGTCAACTTCAACCAATCCTAGTACTAGTGTTGGGGCAAAGTTTGGACTATTTTTGGCATAGGTTGAGCAAGAGAAGGTGGAGAAAGTCTGGATCACTGGAAAAATCAAATCCACTAGCCATATATAAGGGGATGAACAAGGAAGCCATCCATCCACACAAGAAGCAAAATAGTTGAGCAAAACAGAACAAATGAGGACAAAGAAAAGTCTCGATGAGAACGCAAGCAACAACTCCACCAATCTACTTCATCCACGAGCATCATCATTAATCTGTTTTCATCATTGTGAGCAAGCACAGCCCAAGCAAAAAACCATGAGGATTTGACCTATGAGGACGGCAAACACGATATACATCAACTCTAATAATAAGATAGGAAGCAATCATCACAACCACTGAGAAACTGTAACAAATGCTTATAAGAAAACAAGAAACTCTTTAGCTAAAAACCTTAAGTCGACAGGCATGACTAGCCGGCAAGTTTCATGGAGTCCCTCAAGTAAGGCTATAATCATTATTTCCACAATTATAAGTTAGCCACATAGAGGGTTAAAACTTTAGCTTCTAACAACAGTCCATGATCCTCTAGATCTGCTACATGCTAATGGGAGTTATTCCCATATAATTCTCAATCACACAGGAAGAAATGTCAAAAGCTATCATTCTCGTAAATGTATAGGAGTATGCATCTTGGGTGAAGTAGCTTAAAGGCTGTGTAAATTGTGAAAGAAATGACAATATTATATGTTGCAGCCTACCATAAATAAAATCAGGCCTCAACTATAACATAATATGTCCAGCCTTTTAGTCACCTACACTGATCATCTCAGAGTCCAACGCCCTCTCTCGAGCTACCAACAAGGGAGCTCCAGAATCTCATGATGGCGAGATGGGGTCACCTTCAGCATCAAGCCGTATCAAACATGGCTATGGAGGCAAGGCTCCCTACAAAGCTTCAAATCGTTCTATTTGATATTATTAAATATATCGCTAAGCCAGACAACCAGAAGAACATTGATTGCACCCGAAGGCAAGTAGAGCAGTTAAGAGTAGGCTCCTAATTCCACCATAGAGGGGAGTCCTCAAGGCACGCACTCGTTCCGTCGACCTCAGAGATCAAGAGGTTGACAAACTTGATATTCTCAATAGAAAGAGGGGAAAAAAAGTTTGAAAGTTAGTAATTAATTCAAACATTTTGTAAAAAATGAAATATTAGTATTTTGCAAATTTGTGTTTATTTTGTGTTGTGCTTTTTCCGATATAAAAAAATGTACATATACAAAAGTATAGCTATGTAAATGCTCAATCAGGTTATATTTTTTATTCTAGTGGCATGGCAAATGGATATAACAAGAAACTTGGTTGGTACAGCTTCTCCAATGTATTCATTATAAATAGTTAAGTAGCAAGTTACATGATCTGTAATTATTATATGATGGGATGATGGTTCCTCCATGAGACACTTGCCTCGTTCATCGATGATCAAAGTGATGGCGTGTTTAGTGGCGAAGAAATAACTCCATGATTTACTAGAGACAATTGAGCAAGGCCCTTCAAAATGGCATTTTAAAATGGGGTGAGAGGGATGACAAACCTAACCACTATGGCTAGATTCAAGAACAATAGAACGAAATTTTGATTGCAATAAAGTTTGAGTTTTTCATGTTGCTTATGGGAAAAGGCCTTAGGATGGTATATATTTAGGGGTTGGATTGTCAACTAGTTAATGTAATGACAACCATATCAACCCTAAGGGTTAGAAGTCTTGTGTCTATGTCTAGTATGGACTGGATGAGATATAGGCCAATAAGCCTCTTTGATGTTAGAGCAAGGCCTTTGAGGCGCCATCCTGACATGAGCGGATCATTGCTTTGTTGAATTACAACAGTTAATAGAATAATTCTTTGGCTAATAAAGACTGAGTTAGGAACCAGCCTTTAGAAACCTTTCTTGGTTTAGCCATTTAATTCCTAATTTAAAACAATTTTCTCTCCCTTTTAATTCATTAATCTCATTTCACCACTGCTGATCCATAAGGTCTGTGCCTTGTCTAAATATATCTAATGGAGTCCTGGACAACTAGTTTTAGTGATGACAACCATATCAACCCACATGACTGACTAGGAAGCAATTAGGTGTCAACTAGCGTGTATCAAACAATTAGTTGATTTCTAGCTGGTTAAGATTTAAGAGAGCAAAGGAGGATCATGTTACTACAGTAACTAAGGACAATTTTATTTTTTATTAGTCTAAAGGCAATTTAGCCTTTTATTATTATTATTATTATTGTGGGTATTGATAGAGCTAATATTTTTAGGTTTGGGGATGCATGAGATTAATGTCTTGAGTGTTAGGGTTAGGATTTATGAGAGATTTCCTGACTCTTGAATTGTTGGATTTGGGAGTGATTGCCAACCTCTTGAATTGTATGTGTTTATCTTTACGTATTCGTGTTGTATTGCTTTGATTTTGGTGTTCGTGAAATAAAATATATGTTTGCCCTGATTTCTATGAGAAATCTATTCTGAATCGTATCAAATTGGTATTGGAGCAAGATTTCTGGGAAACAAACAATGGGAAAGCAATCAACGGAATTGGATCGTCGTACAGGACACAAGATCGCGATATAGTTGAAATAAGAGCTACTTGGGAAGAGGTCGATCAGATCACAGCCTACGACCTCGCGATATAGGCTCGATTAGAGCCAGTGAGGAAGCAAGATCATGAGCTAGTGGGGATGCCAAGATCGGGCGATATAGCAGTGGTTAGAGCTAGCTAGAAAGGCAACGTCAAAATCGCGTACAGGGCGTGATGACAGTCGGGATGAGAGCTAGGCAGCTAGCTCAGAAGGCCATGATGGGATCTCGTAAGGATGCCAATGATGATTGCGAACATACAGTTGCACTTATAGTCACAATTCCAACTGGCTGGGAGGCCTAACCGTGTGATACAGTTCTAATTCGACCTAGAAGGGAAGCCAAGGATGGGATCGAGGCTACGACGACCCTATACAGTCGTGATTTGGATGATTAGCAAAGCAAAGAATAAATAGAGGCTAACAAAATCACGGTACGGGCGCGAATCGGACTACCTGGAAAGTTATTGATGGAATTGTGGCTTACACGAGTTTCATTTTCTTGATAAAAACATCCTGGGAGTAATGGCAGTCAAAAGAGTAGATGCTTTGAAGAAGAAATTAGAGAAAGGGTAAAACCAAATCAAATCGGAAGTGGATAAATGTTTCTCTTCTCAGGAGGGATGATTCTCATACATTAAGGGGCG